GTGTTGGCACAAATACATTTCTCCAATTTCCGAATAGATAATGTAATTAACACTTTATTAATTTCGTATGCCCGGTGCGCTTTCTTGGATGAACCTTCGTTTGAAACGCTCAACCCAAACATATGAAAGCCTTAATGCGTTACCAAACAGGAATAGCCAAATTCATCGAAGGTCAACTTTACCTGAGGGAGTAGGAACCTTTGTTTAATAATAATTTCTAAATTTATGAACGCAAGATTCTCCTAATACAGCGGCATATAACACAAGGACAATCATAGGTAAGTTTAAAAACTCCATCTAATTTTTCACTTGCAACCTGTAGTAGATGTTTTTATAATGTAATCATATACATTTGTAACTACAGAACCAAGAGGTGATTTCTTCTCAAATTTGAAGGGCCAGTAAAAATCTGGAAGAGCAAGCGAGTTAGTATATTTAGTAATGTCTGTTTTTTAAATTTCAAATATGTATTAGTGTGACAATCTACGCTAAAACAACGTTTGAAAATGGAAATTGATCCTTTACTGCCATATCGATACTACTAATTATTATCAACACCTTATGCGTTTTAGTTGAAATTTAAAAAAAAATATGCAAGGAATCGGAGATTATATTAATTAAACAGGTGAACGATATAATGAGATATTATATGTTTCACAAAGTCCTCAACATCTTTAACAATTCTTTCCCGTTATGAATACATTGGATCTATTATCTCTTCGATATAGTTAATGAAATAAGAGGCAACACTGAGAAGTTTACCGGTGTTCAAATCTTGTGAATTCACTAAGAAGGTACAAATCAAAGTAAAAAAAAAACACTCTAAAAACCAGAGAGAATCGCATAAACTCCATAAGACAAGAAGCCATCACAGATACAAGCATAAAACTTTTAGTACGCCAGACGTGCGTTTCGTCTACACAATACTCATAATTGGCGCTTAAATCAACATCAAATCAATAATGAAGGTAAAGAGACCAGAAAGTGGTCCAAAACCTTGTTAAAGGCATAAGTACTGCCCACTGAGCTTATGATTCCATTGGGACTAGCAGTTCACCAGCAGTGGTATAGACCCGGTGCTTATAAACGAAAAGGGTGATCTGTTGAAATTTCACATCCTATTCTATGCACATTGAACTTTTCGAGAACACATTAGACAAATCAATGGACAGCGAATAAATTGTCCACGGTACTAAACCAACAGTAGCGGATTTGTCTGAAAAGTAAATGGGTTAAGAATGTTCTTTGAGTGTTGGAAGTATTTTAATAATATAGAAATGTATGTCACTGATTTTTGTGATGAGCTTGGTACTTCTATAGATAAGTTTTTGTATTGTGTGTTGAAAGTTTGCTACATTTATAAAAGTTTTTGTCCTTTGTGGCTTTAGATTTTGTTAATACTATAAAAACAGCTTGTACTCTGTGTTGTGTAGTTGGTTTGGTTTGTTGAATTGTGAAATAAAAAAGAAAGTATAGGATTCATTGTGTATTAAGATTATTTTGTTGGATTAGCAATAATGCTTTTTAGTGTCTGAATAGTGCTAGTTAAACAGCAGTGAATATGTCTGACAATTTACTGAAACATTGAGACGTAACAATTGCTTTGTGGTTGATTGTGCCGACACATTTTTTGTTTTGGATATGTTATTTTAGTGAAAAAAATTGTCCACAGTACTAAATTAACAGCAGAGGGTTTGTCTGAAAATTTTGGTAGTTATTCTCACTTTGTGGCTTTAGATTTTTTTAATACTATAAAACAGCTTGTACTCTGTGTTTTGTAGTTGGTTTGATTTGTTGAATTATGAAATAAAAAAGAAAGTATAGGATTCATTGTGTATTAAGATTATTTTGTTGGATTAGTAATAATGCTTTTTAGTGTTTGAACAGTGCTAAATAAACAGCAGTGGATATGCCTGAGAATTTACTGAAACATTGAAAAGTAACAATTGTTTTGTAGTTGTTTGTGCTGACACATGTTATTGTTCTTGGTATGTTGTTTTATGGAAAAAAAATGTCCACAGTACTAAATTAACAGTAGCAGGTTTGTCTGAGAATTTTAGTAGTTGTTTGTCTTTTGAATGTTTGGTAGGATTGATTATGCTACAAAATTTTCGGATAAAAAAGTTTGATGCCGTGTTATGCATACCCACACTCATCATTTGACACTTTCCATGCTCAACGGATATGAAAAAAAATTAATATCATTTTGGATCGTTCATTTTTGAAAATCGCGAACAATGTTCCAGACCAAATATCCAATCATTCCTTAATATAGAAATTAAGTAAAATGTAATGAAAGTGTTAGACAAACAAACGAGAATACAAATGGACAAAGTGATTGAAGTATGCCATTTACTCTGAGAGTACGGGTATAATTATAGTGACTTCTAAGTATCTGTGATCATCCTTTATTTTTCGTGGGGTTTGTATTTCTCAATCCTCGGTTTTCTCTGTGATGTTGCAATTGTTATCTTTCATCATTTTTTTTATTTTTTGTCATGGTGTTGTTTATTTTTATTGTATTTTTATTGCCCCGCTCTTTCTTTTTTTTTTTACCATATTTCAAAATTTCAATTGTTCACCATTGAACACGTTACTACCTAAATTGTCATGTTTTCAATAATTTCTGAATTTCTTCTTCACACGTGTGTTGCAGAACGAGTTCATTACAAATAATAACAGTTCACTAGTGCTCATTTCGGAAAGTATTTAGTGAAAAGCAAAATTTTGAAATGCTGTAATGGACTGCTCTTAATACATTCCATTTTTGATGATGTGTTAAGATTTCTTGTGGATTCTTCCTTATGTCGCTTTATTTCATGTCATACATGAACTCGCTGTATTCAAACACTAAATTATTATGGTTTTTCTATGAAAATAGTTGATCTTGTACATAATATATAATTGGTACCAGCATGAACAGCTTACCCTTTCTGTTAAATCGAGTTCATCCAAAGTTGTGAGTGTAGCCCAATCATTTAGAGAATAGTGACAATAGTTGTGGTTCTATATTTTCACCTTTTTTGGATATTGTGTCCGTGTATTATAAGCCTAGACTTTTACATCCTTCTGGTTTTGCTCCACATTAGCAGGAGGAAGATACAGAAAATAAGAAGTATATTGAAAAGTATTTGCTGACTTTTAAAAAAGTTTTCAACTTACAAGCCCAAAACTCAGTAGGTCATATTTAAAAAAAAAAGACAATTTATATGGCTTGTGGGAAATCTTTTCAGGAAAATTTTACTGGCCAATCAATCTTAATGGCCTTAGCTGTTTAAAATTTCATAAAATTTTGACAAAAATATTAACTTTGACCCTTTGACAAAAATATTAACTTTGACCCTTTGACAAAAATATAAAAATTTCAAAAACTTGAACCACATATTTTATCAAAAAAATTCCATTGAATATATAGCAGTTTGACAAACACTATTTTGATCATTAAGAAGCTTAAACTTTTCTTAACAATAGAACGTGATTAAAACGTTCAGCTGTTTTTTACAGAGTTATTCCCCGGTAGTGTTATGTACCACCTTTATGCAGGTTGCAGTCTATTAATTGACTGCTCCATAGGCTTACATGCAAAACAGCTGATCTTTGAAATTTAAAAAAAAATAAAATGCTACATAGAAAATTTTTTTCATGTACATATCATGTATGTAGTAATGTGAAATTGTGATTTAATGGGGAAAAAAGTGGGTCATGCCACAAAGAATAAAGAGTTATGAAACCCTGAAGTCAAAAGTACTTTTTTCTACTTTCTGTTTGCTGTTGTTACTAGGCTGCACCACTTCCAGTAAACATGATATCCTTCCACTTTCCTGGTTTGATATCCCCCAAAAAATGCAATATTTTTTTAAATCAAAATAGATGTTTCAACTCAGCATAAACTTTTAATCAAACAGAAAAAATTGAGTCCAGAAAAAAATTCAGAAAAAAATGGATTATTTAATTTCACTCCATGTTTTGACATGCACTGGAAACTGGAGTTGTAATACAAGACTGGTACCTTAATGGCCTTAGCTGTGGAATTTGTGGTTAATCATAGAACAATCTCGAGTTGTTTTTTGTGAATGAGTTACACTGCTTGACCCTAGGTCAGTCTCCATAAATGATGTCATTGAACAATCAATTTTTACTGAAATGTACAGGAAAATGCAGGAATTTGAAACTCATCTTCGACTATTATTATTTGACTTTTTGCTCCTTTTTCATTAGATCAGGTTGCTTTTTTTTATTTCCTCCCTATGTACTTTTTCATTCTAGAACAGATACAGTAGCCTCAGCTCCTGTTCCTCAAGATAGTTCTTGTCATTGATATTTGCAATTTTTGACTTACATCTAGAAATTGACAATGTGGGTTGTTTGAGAACAAAGCTTTATGACAAAAGAGATGATGTCAGCTTTTAAATTGTGAACTTTCCATTTCTATGTAGCAACATTCCAGAAGCACTTACATATAGAGTAGGTATATCCCAGTTGATACGATATTCAAGAGTTCTTATCATGATTTCCTTGATAGAGGGTTGCTGCTTACAAGGAAGCAAGTTCCAAGTGATGAAGTTGAAATCATCCCTTCAAAAATTTTACAGACACTATCACAAGTTGGTTGGTTGTTATGGAATATCTATTTCACAGATGACGACGGATATGTTGTAACCACAATCCAATCTTCTTCTCCTCAAAAGTGACCTATCAAATTAGACTTATCACTAGATTTATACTTACATGAGCAATATGACTGGTGCCATATTTGGAGCAGGATCTGCTTACCCTTCGGTAGCACCTGAAATCACACCCAGTTTTTGGTGGGCTTCGTTTTGCTCCGTTTTTAGATTTTGTGTTTCGTGTTCTGTGGTTTTTCTTTTCGTCATTTTCTTTTTTTGTCATGGCATCATCAGATTGCTTTCAACTAATGAGTTTGAATATCCCTTTGGTATCGTTCAACCCCCTTTTACCTCTTAATTTGTAATTCACTAAGTAACAACAGAAAACAAAAAAATAGTTTGGCATTTTAATGTCAAATGAAAAGCAAAACTGGATCTCTAATCCTTAAAGCTTTAAAAGATAAAGAATCATCCACTCTTATGGACATATAAAATAATTTCATAGATTCCTGTTTTTCACTTGATCCTTTTTTGTAACAATTTCACAAATAGTTCAACCATTCAATTTCATCACTGGGAATCTAAATATACCACGTTTACATATCTTATAGTGTTAACAAATTTTTTACAAACCAATTGTATTTAATTGCAAATTAAAATAGCACATGGAAAATATACACAATGATTGTTTCATTCTCCTCAATAATTTTCATAACTAAAATCATATTTTTAGTAACAATAATACATTCGTGATACTGTTAAAGATAAAACTTGAAAAATTTAGAAAGGAAAGCTCAACTTTCATATTATCTCCCCTGTAATGGTGGCACTAATGAAAAACTGTTAACTTTTGAACCAGACATAGTATCTGAAAGCTGTTGATAAAGACAAACTTAATTTGCATACTCTGATAATCTTAAATACATTTTGACTATGTCAAATTTTTTACACTATAAAATATGATATGTTTTAACAGTTGTAAACCAAAAAATCACAAATTTTCATCCCAAAAGACTAAGAACCTATAAAATTCTGATGGTCTCAGATTTTACAAGGTCATAGGCATGGAAATAAAATTAGTTGAATGTGAACAATTTACCATTTGATTATAAATGCTTCTGATATGTTTATAAAAATATATTTCTGATACACACAATATGAAAAAAATTGCAATAATAATAAAAACACTGGAGTACTATAATAATTATGAGTTATCTCCCATGTCAGCAGTATTAATTATCTCCCTTACCAGTATTTGTACCATTGGTTTATTTAGATGACAGAAACATTTTGATAATTAAAACAAAATAACAACTCTTGCTGCTAACAGTGTCCAGTTTCTGGTTATTATAATGAAAAATAAAATCAATATTTTGATAAATTTGTATAAAATCTGGATTAATTTCATAAGATGTGAAAAACTTCTAAGAAGTTTTCAAATTGATATTTGAGAAATATTTTCAAGTGGACAAACAATCTGGTAAACCATCTCAATTAAATGGTAAAAATAATTCAATATTTCAAGCAAATTGCTTAATAAATTTTCATTTCAATGAACTGAATGAAAAGTAAAAAAAATATAATATCTAGAACAGATTATAAATACAGAAACATTTGCCTTAGTTCTTTATAATTCCGCTTATGATGATATGTCTGTATAAAGTCAAGTTTATCTAATTTTCTTTTGTTGATGTAGTTTATGGTTTAGTAGAAAATGTTACTTCAATTGTCTTTTGGTTTGTTGTTTTTCAATATTTGTGGTTTAGATAACAATGTGTACATTATGATATGTGGTTATTGCTGCTTTCAGTTCGCACATACTGGTGTATGTTTCATGTAAAATCTGATCAGAAAAATAATTTTAGGTGGAAATATGTAAAGAGTGGAAGAGTCCCTTAACTGTAGATATAGACTGACATAAATATCAGTATTGAACATTATATATTGTAAATACAATCCAATACTTGTATACATATCAATGATAACTTTGCTATTTATAAAACAGCTCAGCTGTAAGTAGGTATATATGACCTACATTGTACCTTTGAGGTCAACATGTAAAAACAAAAACAATATACAATTCTACAGTATAAAACAAATAAAATGTATGATATGAACGTTAACAATAAAAACATTTTGATTTTATAACACGCTATTTACAAATAAAGAGATCTAAAAAATATCATTGACCAAGTTATATCACAACACAGCACTCTACATTCCCCCCCAAAAAGTATCAATATCACAACAGAGCACTACAAAAGTTTAAAAATACAATTATCTGACACTGTCACATGACAGAAACCAGTCAGAATAGTAAGAGGATGTATATAAATGTCATTTAAGAAATACTTTCTTTACACATTGTTCTACTAAAATGAGTTCAAGAACAAAGCTTTACACTGTTAATAATCATGTTTAATTACAATCAGTGGTAAATTTAGAGTTAGAAATAGAATGACAATTTTTTTTTAGGAAAATTAATTTTATAAAATAAAAATCCTTTCTCCTGGACATTTGAGTTACCTATTTTGATCATCACAGACAACAAAGTATATACATCCCTAATAGTATTAAGTTATTGAAAGTTGAAGTTGTCTATTCATTTTTTTTACATGGTTTAATATAGAATTGCCAAGCTGAGAAAACTGAGTGTAAAAACAACATATGAAAAAGTGCTTTTTTTGCTTTCAACTAACGAGTGCCATATGTACATATTGCAAATAAAGTATAAATGGTCCCATGAGATTCAATGATAAATATTATGACTTGCTATAAACTATCAATTGTAACAGAGATGCTTGAATATAATGTAAAACCATTAAGCATTCATTTTAGCCATCCTTTTTTAAAAGGTCTGAACAAGTATGAGATTGCAAAATAAAAATCTGAAAAATTTTGACACATACATTTTATGGAATTGACATATACAAATGTATATTGCATCAAATGCAGGAATACACTTTTCAGTTCTTGAAATCCTGTTCTGATTGGATACATTTAACAATTATCATAACCCTCATGTAATGATAACCGTTCTTCTAACAATGATATTTCGTCTGTAATTGTCCGGCATTCTTCATCCAGTCTGTCATATTCCTCTTCCAGATAATTCCTGTCCAAATCTTTCACAGCCTGCTCTTTCTGGTTTCTTACAGAGATCCTGCAAAAAAAAAAACAATATATTTTTCTATTTTACCGGTAACTTTTTTCTTTCAAAAATGAACTTTGATATCCTGAGCAACATTTTTTGCATTTGTTTCTCTCTTCTTGGTTTATATTAGTTTTACTCATTATAGGCTGTAATAGGTAAATAATACAGGTTTCCGCTGGCAGTCGCCATTTTCGCATTTTGATGGAAATTAAAATTGTGGCGATTAATTCATTATTGGCGAATGAAATGTAACGGTTCAATTTCCTCCATTTTGTATATTTTTTTCATGTTTCTCCCACGTTTTCCCTGATCAGACAAAACTGGGATTTTAACTTGAACTTGTCATGCGTTACAATTTTGAAAGAAAATCAATAATCATCTGATAGCTTTTTATAGCTTTCAGCAATAATGGACTAATTAATAAAGGTGTTGATTGTATTGTTTAATGTAATTGTGTAGTTAAATGGGTCACATGTCACCTAAAGGATTTTTTTACAACTTTGATAGAAAGAATTGTTTTGAAGTTGATACTTCACAACCGTTTTAGCGACGCACATGTTTGAAGCATTGTAATACGTCTCAATTTTTCTTTTAACGATGGTCAGGAAAGGAAAACCGTTGTTATGTAGAAATTATTTAATAGTAAGAAAAATTTTACAGTATCTTTAAACAAGTAAATGTTTGTTATTTTTGAGTGTTTATTTATTACAAGGTAGATTAAAAAATAAAAATGTAGAATTATAATAGATAAGACAACAATGCTTCAAATTCATTTTTTTTGGTTAGGAAGAAGGAATATTTTAAAAAAAAATATGTTTATGTTAATTGGTGAAAAAAAAAAAAAAAAAAATTTCGAAAAATATGTTGTTTTGGCAAAAGAGGTGGCGAAAAAGAAAATAAACCCTAAGAAAATCCTGAATAATACCTTTGGGAAGATGCAATTTAAATGTATTGCAGCAGCAGAAAATCTTCTACTTGTGGTTTGAGTTTCTATTTTATCAACACTGATCAGCTAAAAATAAGTTCCTAGTTAAAAAAAATTCTTGAAAATTTACAAAAAAACCATTTTAAAGAACTTTTAGAAATATCATTTGAACAAGTCCCTGGATTATCAAGTTTCATTTAGAACAAATTTGATCATTTGCATTATTCTTTTGTATAATAACGATCCACACTGAAAAGTTTTGTGAAATTTAATGAAAAACTTGTATTACATCAATTTTAACATCTGCTAATACTTTTTAACACTTCTTTTCTAGATTTGTTAAATAAATTCTGTTTGTTCATAAAAACATACCTGGTTTTCTTAAGTTCAACTAAATGAGTTCTTAGTTGTTCTATCTTACGTAGAAGAGCTTTTGGGTTACCATCTAGATCTTCTAAAATAGATTCAGATTCAAATATAGCACTGTCACACTGGTCCCTTGATACTGACTTAGAATCAACGGTTAGATGAGTCTGAATTGTTTCATTGGTCCTTTCAAAAATAGTTGTAGTTTCTGTTTGGCTAAAAGTCTGAACAGAAATATTTGATTGGTCAATTATAGTATTGGTAATTTCAAAATTGGTCCTTGATGATTGGTTAAAACTTTGAGTTGAAACAGTGGATTGGTCATTTATACATTTTGCATTGATATGGTTTTCATAGCCATCATTGTGATGGTCAGCAGTATGTATGATGGGAGAGAACTCCTCTAGAGGACTGACTTGGATATCAGTCCCCTGACTTAATGTGTCCAAATTGTCACTAACGGAATGTACATCTTGGTGAGGTTTTCGTTCTAATGAACTGTTTTCAGAACATACAGCACTATTATAAGCAGTATCACTCTGTACATTAAATTCTTCTGAAACTAAAGAGTTTTCTCTGCTAAAATGGTTATTGATTTTATTGAGGATTTCAGCAAACATACCCCCATCCTCAGAGTTATCTCCCTGTCTTAAGTGATTGGTATCCTGTTCATCAAACAAAAACACATTATCTGATATCCTATGATCACTAGTTAGAGATTCCCCATTGGCTGATTCAGAACTTTTCCTCCTGACTTGTGAGTATAAATCTCCAGTAACTTCCCCTTGTATTTTAGATTTATCCGATTCACTTTGATCTACAGGGATTTGATTGTCAGATATCAATGTAGTGTTTGCAGTAATATCCAGAGCAGAGTCTTCATTTTCCTCTTCAGAGCATTTATGTTTCATAATGTTAAAATGCTGTAAAATAAATTGTTACATTCACTAGATATCATGTTAAAACAAATAAATTCTCTTTGTGACAAAAATGTCTGGATTAGTTTTTTTAGTATTTTTATTGCTTAAATTCGAGAAAATCATGTGTAAAGTTTTATTTTTAGCTTTGCTCAACATTGTGACAATCTTCAGGAATATTTCAAGCATACAAATGTGGATGTATAAAATCTAAATATTTTGTAAAATGGATTAAACTCAAAACAAACAAATTTTTTAAAAATATTTTAAATATTTCTGGAAAGCCTTCACTCTAAATGTGATGGTTGTATTTTTACCATATTATATTTTACTGTCAAATTTTAAGACAATAACTTAATGTTAAAAATTAAATTAATCAAATATGATATGACTATTGTCTAGACTGATATAGACTGATTATAAGTTGGTGCAGGCTAATTTTGAACCAATAAAAGTTAACACTGTATAAGTCTGTTCAATGGTGCAACTAAAAGATTAATCTAGCAAAGAACTTTATTTGAATAAACGTGTTCTCATTTAAAAAGAATTGATTGCTGCTTTTTGTAATTTTAGGTGTTCTGGTATTTACATATCAATAAATTATATCTAAAAAAATAAATTAATTAGTTATAATTTTCTGTTTGAGCTTAATCATAAAAGTTTTATTGAAACTACTGTCAGGAATGGATAAAAGCTCTGTTTGGAAGCTGAGTATTCTATATATTAAATGCAATTATAAAATTTATTTCTATGTCATCCTATTTACATGTAAAACAAAAAAGAAAGATACAATGCAAACGCAATAAAGTTACAAGTGTGAATGTTACAGTAAAAGTTTGAGGTAGGTATAAGACAAAGCTTGAGATAAGCTAGATTACAGAAAAAAGGACAAAATTTTACCAATCAGTTTAGATTTTTGGCTTGTTTAATAACAGTTTGGCCTTCAGTTACAACACCATATTGACAAAAAGGTCTTCTCTCACAAGTTGGAAAAGTTTATTTTCTTCAGCAGTAAGCACTGAAGTATAATTGTATATAGAGTTTTCCAGGCATGAGCAAGAATGACCCCTCTTTTTATCAGATGTTATTTCAGAGGCTACCGTACCCTGGAAATTAAGATGACATATAATTCTTGAATATAGACAGTATTAACCAAAATTGTATGTGTATTATATATATACATCAAGTACATTCATTTAAATCAAAATTTTAATTTTCTTCTTCATTTTTTCTGAAGTCATTGCATGTATCTAATAAATAGGAACTTTTCATCAATGAACATAAAATGAAGTTTGTTGAATATTTCAACATGCATTTTTGATTAATGATAATTTTCTTGATAAATATGAAAGAAACGAATTCCACATTTTAATAATGATTGTTTGTAGTAAATGTAAGGGAAAATATTAGATTTCATTTTAATCAATGTTTTTGGCGACAGATCAGAACTGCATTTGACATGTATCATTGTATACAAAGATAGATTATTTATTTCCAGCAATAATACATTTGCTGCCGAATCAAAATTATATTAACTACTACTCATTTATCTCCATTTTAAATCTTACTTTGTGTACTTATTCCACTGACCTAAAGAAACAACTCATTTTATCAAAGACAAATAAGCTGCTTTTTAATTTGATTCTATTTTCATTTTGAAGTCTGCTCTCACGAGGCTTTAAAAATGTTCTGATGCAAATTACAAATTATTAAACTACTATAAGTAAAATGGAGACAATAATATTTGTCATCTCCCTAAAACATATACTTACATCTTTAATAGAAGAATAACCACCAGCATCTGATGTTGGAGAGGATAGGTCTGTTGGATTTATATCATGATATGGAGATTCTTCTTCTATCCAGAATTCCTCCAGACCTTGGGGAACCTCCTCTGTTGATGTCTCTCTCATCAGAACTCGTAACCATCCAAACATTTCCTCCCTACTGAGTGGCTACAAATATATAAATAATTAACATGACTTGCAATGTTTTTTTTTAATGATTTTATCTCTTAAACTTGTTTTGATAGGTACCTGTTGCATTTTTTGTGTCCCTTGACAGAAAAACTAAAGTAAACACATAGAGATCACTTATGTCATCTTATGTCCACTTCACACCTTAATGTTTATCCACAAATCCTTCAAGGATGTTCGCTCCTCTTGTTTTTGAATTTTTACCAGATTTTCAGAATCCTCTGGTTTTATCCATGTTTTGCCATTAAAAAATTGTCCACTAACCCCTACTTTTCTATTTATAATTTTATTACATATAGTTTTAAAAGTCATATTTGAAAATCTTATAAATTCCTTGTTATTCTTTCATAGTTTTAAAAGAGAAAAGCAGACAATGTTAAAAGTATGAAAAATCTAGAGAGAATCATTTCCCGCCATATTTTCAATGGCTTATATCTCGAAAACAAGCACACGGACCCTTCAGTTTTTTTCTGCTTTTTTAGTTTCTTTATTCAAATACTATCATTTTATAAGGTTGTTATTCTGAAACAGAGTAGTGAACATCCTTAAAAAGTGTTTACAGAATTTGACCTAACTTACACAGATCCTTCTACATGACAAAGTTGTGCACCTGCTATCTAACATTTTACAATTATGTCAACTCTGCTTTTGGAATCATACCTCAATCGTTATCTTTTCTCCAGCTTTCTCTACCAGCATTAAGCCAAGTTCACTTTTTGTTTCTACCATTGCCCTCCGTAATTTACAATATCGTAATAAAAAGTCCAATTCACAAACACCACTAGTCTCATTTTTGTAACATTCAAATGTGTTATCACGGACAAGACACCATCGTTTCCCCCACTTTCTTTTGTTGAAGTTACTATAGATACATAAATACCCTGAAATAGTAGAAAACAAATAAAACGTTTATCAAGTATATTGATGACAATCAAAATGACTAACATCATTTATATGAATGTACAATCAGTCCTAAATTTATTTTACAACCTATTTATAAACAAGAAAATAAAATAAATTGTCACAGACTCAATTTTAATTGTTAAATTCATCATCTTCCATACATATTAAAACATAATTAGAGTTTATTTGTAAAAGTTATATGATTGATTGACTGGTGTTTAACACCACTTTCAACACTATTGTGCTATTTCATGGCAGTCAGTTTTTATTGGTGAATGAAGCCTAAGTGCCTGGAGAGAACCACGACCTTCAGTAGGAAAACTGACAATCCTAGTGAATTAAGATTGAAGTCGAGTGCACCTGCCCTGTGCGGGATTCGAACTCACAACCTCAGTGTTGACAGGCTAGTGATATAAAAGTTATATGAAAGATACACAATATGAATTAAAATGCATGACAGTTTAAAGTAATACAAAAGTTTTTTTCTTAATGGACTTAGCCATTTCCATTAACTTTTTAATAGAGGACACCTATGTGTCTTCCCTTCCAGATACTTTTGACTGCTGGTGAACTTCCACTAAATTGGCATCCTGTCCACTCTAATGTTAAATATGGGAATTTTTTAAAAGTCTAAAAATCAAAACAAATTTTCCCAGAATGGCAATGCTTAGTATAATTCTCCTTAAGTAAAATTTACTTCTTTACAGTAAAAATAGCTCCTTTTTTATCAATTCATTTACAAATAAGAAAAATAATTCAATTTCAAATATTGCAGCCAAAAAGTTGACCATTTTACAACCTGTGTAGCTTTAAAATTGCACGTGTCCCACATTTCAACCAAAGATTTTGATGTTCTGTAAGCAGTCACTACTTTCTCTATGGTCCTGTTATACAAATTACTAGCAGCTATGGATCAATTTAGTACTACTTTTAGACATCTGTCAAGATTAAGGCAGCTTTTAAGTGGAATGTCACTTAAGTTGTATTATGCATCTCCACAACAAAAGGGGAGACAACTCAAAATATTAACCATGACAGCATTGCTGACAATATAAGCTGAGTTATTTTGTAGTTTCATATATATTAGAGAGATGATAAGAGCCATGAATCTGAATTTCAATAATAAAAAACAAACAGCTTTATAATTTACCTGAATGTGTTATAGGTCTAACTGATGGTAGAGCTGGGATTTCAGGCAAACAGTCAGGTAAAAACACAGGTGTGTCTGGAGTTGTTACTGGTGTACAGGGAGATCCTAGAGGAGATGATGTACCAGAACTTTCCCGTAGATTGTTTAAACTTGATACTGAAGATAACTTTCTGCCAGACTTTTTACCTATGGACTCGAAAAACTGTGAGGCACGGAATGCAAAGGAACCCATTCTGGAAACTTTTGGTTCTGAAAATAAAATATATTATCGGTAAATAATAAGGTACTGGTTTAAAATTAATAAGAGCAAAAAATACAGTTTTTTTTTTCTGTGGCAAATAAATGTTTTTCCACACCTAGCTTATACTTTTTATCATATCTTAGCTTTGTAGCAAATACTCCATTTTCAAAATGTGAATTATTTAATAATTTTTTGCCTGGCTGTCAACTAACCTCCCAATGAAGACTAATCACTAGAACTCAGCAAATTTGTTATGTTTCCCCTAGAGGGTTAATCTGTAAGTTTATACTTCCCTGAATCTCTTCTGTCCATGACATTTTGGAATTCTTTAAGGATGTTCGATCCTCTTGTTTTTGAATTTTTGCCAGATTTTCGAAATCCTTTGGTTTTATCCATGTAGTGCCATTAAAAATTTTGCCCACTAAACCCTACTTTTCTTTTCATAATTTTATTACATATAGTTTAAAATGCCGTCTTTGAAAATCTTATAAAATCCTTGTTACTTTTTCAAAGTTTTTGAAAGAAAAAAGGTGCCAATGTTAAATGTATGAAAAATCTAGAAAGAATGATTTCCCGCCAAAATTTTCAATAGCTTATATCTCGAAAAAAAACAAGCACACGGACCCTTCATTTTTTTTCTGCTTTTTTAGATCCTTTATTTATATACTATCAATTTATAACAGTCTTTTAAAAAGCTTGTTATTTTGAAACAGAGTATCGAACATCCTTAAGTTATACTTCCTTCAGTCAACTTTACCTAATTAATCTCCATTTACAACTGTTAACTGTCTTCTTTCTAAATTGATTGGTTGCTAGTTGTTTTATTTCCTGATTCAAAGTATAGATACCTTTTTGTTTAATTAACAGTTTTGGGTAATTTTTTTTTTCTATCTGTCATTGAATATCATTTTGTTTTATTTTACACCATTTAAAAATACACACTGAGAAACTTACTATTGAAACTGTTTGATCTCACAAAATCTTGGTCTGAACCATCACAACTGGTTAGAGATCCTTGGGATTGAGACATCTTCAGATCAGCCTGTCAAAATAAAAAATAAAAGAAATAACAAACATTAGAATTACTGTGGAGTGGAATATTCTTGTGGAGTTTAAATTTCATGATTTCTAAGGTCAAAACCTGTTTGCCAGGTTTTATCTTCAGATTTTTTGTGTTCCTGTACCTGTTCATCATCAAATTTACACAAACGGGATATTTTCTTTCAGATTTTGTCTTAATCTAGAAATTAGCAAAAAATAAACCAGTTATAAAAGTTTCACACCATACATTATTAAATATACGAAATTTTGGCAATGTGAACTTCATTTTCAAATATAAGAGATCAGCTTAAAGTTGTTCAAGTATGTGTTGCACTACCAAAGCACATTTTTTCAGTGAACTACTGTAAATTCAGAAATTGTTGCGAGGTTTCTATTATTGTGAATAATGCGACTCCTTGAGTATCGCAATAATAAGAACTCGCATTCTGATATCTTGTACATATAGTTTTGTGTAGCTTTTCCTAAAATCGCAATAATTAAAATCGTATTTTTGTTCATTCTTTAAAAATCGCAATAATAAATGCACACAAAAATTTCTGAATTTACAGTATTTGTTTTTTAGAATACCTGTGTATAAACCCTTAAATTCAAGTTCAACAAGTAAACAGCTATAAAAACAATAAAACTGTACAAATTACAAACCTTGCTACCATAAATCTGACTGCTGTCTACTCCAGCAAATGTAGAACTTCTGGCAAGATGATAGTATTGTCCAGGTGGTGGTCCACCTTCAGCCATTGCATTGATATACTGAAAATATAAAAACAATCAATTAAGGTTACAAGGCAACAACTGAACATACAATTATTGTCTAATACCCTAATGTTTTCCATTCTTTTGATGTGCTTGAGCTTTTGATTATGCTATTTGATAAAGGACTTTCCATTCTGAATTTTTAATTGGAGTTTGGTATTTTTGTTCTTTTACTTTTTATTCATATTTTAGTGTCAGTGCCTATCTGAAGTCACCAAATTCAATTGCAGTTGTCTTAAGTCAAATCTTGATGTTTTTTGTTATTTGGTGAATTTTGTGTCAATGGCAAATATTTCAGATGTGGACGAAAGAATGTATATCAATAATGATGAATGCAAATGGGATAGCTCATTATAATATATAAAGCAAAACAATATACGTGAGATAGACATTTGTCATTTCAGGGCCTTTTATAGCTGACTATGCGGTATGAGTTTTGCTCATTGTTGAAGGCCGTACAGTAACCTATAGTTGTTAACTTCTATGTCATTTGGTCTCTGGAAGAGAGTTGTCTCATTGGCAATTATACCACATCTTCTTATTTTTATATTAAAGCTTATAAAGAAAATTGAAGGAATTTTTTTCATGTATACTTACATCACACCATAAAGAAGCCCATTCTTTAAATTCCACGGAAAATACATGAAGTTCAAGTGAAGGGTGAGTGAGTTTTATATCAAATCCTTTGCGACTGTCTTTTTCTGAGAAAGCACTTTTATATCCAGTCAACTGTATCACTAAGGCAGGTTTGGAATCACATTTATCAGGTTTGTAACACACTAATCGTCCTTCCGATAAGGCACATGTTTTCCTTGTCCATGATAACTTCCCTTTGAACAAGAGCTCTCCTGACAGAGTCAATTCATCTAAACATCTTAAAGGCACATTTAAGTCCCATTCTTTGGATGAACGAGATTTGGATAACTTTTTGTGTTTACTGGATTTCTTGACTGGCCTGAAAAAAAGTATTTTGCAGTTAGATGTAGTTTAAGAATATTTTTCAAATCTGGTAAAATTTACATGTAAAAAAAGCATTTATGTTAATGAAATATCTAATAAATATAATTTATTTTGAGCTAACAAAAAAGTAATGATTAACTAGCCAATTCATTTTGATCTTCACACATTCATAATAAAATTAATCTTGAGAATTAGAGTTATTTCCCTTAGAACACACAACTTACTTTGGTAATTGAACATTGAATTTCGCAGCTTCTTCTTCAGTATAAGATTCATAAGATGTCCCATCTAAATCATCTGAAGAAATTAATAATATAATAATATGCAGAAATTATAAAAAATCATGCATAAAAACTAAGGATTACATGTATATAGGCAACTACAAAGACCAAAAAAAATTGAAAAGGCTAATAAATTGTAATACTATTTTTCATTTTGTCCAATAGATCTTTTCATCTAAACTACACACCTTTAGCAAATAATTTGGTGAAAGAAAAATTTAGTACATTGCTAATATTTTCTTAAAACATATTTTTTTGTTAAATCACTAGATAAGACAAAGAATATTCACCTTGAAAATTTCCCAATTTTATAAATAAATAAGTATATGGAATGTGGTCATATTACTATTGATAATAACAAGATACCATTAGTTTATAGTCATCTTACACAAAAAACTACATGTGTATTTGATTGTTGTGTGTAATAAACTCGTTTATTCCCAATATGTATTTTTTTTATGAATTTACCAAGTCAATAATCTGGTTGGTTTTTCTACATCATTGTATTATTGTCCTTTGACAGATTTTTGTTAAAAAGAAGATTTCAGTAGTCTGTGATAAACTATTCATAACTTTTCCAGCCTCTAAACAAATTTGAGCTTGATAAATACTAAAGACATTTGTATGTTGTTTGAAGAACCTATTAACATCTATTTTCCTTTTATGGTGTTTGAAGTTTTTAACTCTATCTCACTGATCCCATAGCTTATTATATCCATATTTACTTGTCTTATTCTGATCCCATAGCTTATTATATCCATATTTACTTGTCTTATTCCTATCCCATATCTTATTATATCCATATTTACCATATTTACTCGTTTTATTCCTCGACTAGAGAAATTCAAATGACAAAGGAACAATAAAAATAGACTTTGTTTTCATTAAGCTATTTTATTCGGAAGTTATTATTTTTTTTTTTCATTTAATTTTCAATTACAAATCTGCAGTCAAAAGGTAAATATTTCTTTCCTAATATTATGTTTTTTATATTTATAAAGGTTTCTATTTATATAAGGAGAGATCCCCTAGTTCTTTAGATTACATTGACTACTAAAAGACTAAATATATGTCAAATCGATGAATGTTTGAAATATGACAAAAAGTCAAAACAGAAAGGTGTAAAATGATAGTTCATTATATAATGATAATTAAATTCAATACAAAAACAATTATTTACATAAATATCATAAGGGGAAATGTAAAACAAATATCCTTATTAATTATTAATGACATCTGTTTATATGTTCTTATTTATGCTTAAAAAGGGAAAGTCCCTTATATAAAACACTGCATGATGTCAAGCTTTTAAACTAAAAGTAAGGCAAAAGTACTAAATATTTGTTATTGTAAATCAAAACAAGAAATGAAAAAAATCTTCTATTGATTCAATTTTAATATTGTCAAGATCCCGGTCAACTTAGGGTTTAATTAAAGGTTTGGGTATTAAATGACCTTTTTAACATGCTATTAGTAGATCCTTGAATGTCCATCATTTGAAACCTTGTGATGATTGGTAGCAGTCTCATTGACATGTTTTATGTTACTTTTATTTTTACTGAACCTTGCTGAGACATTTGATGGCCCTTTCTGAGAACAGGAGTCACAAGGCTCAGATGTTCACACCTTCACAAAAAAAAAATCTCAACATAGTAACGCCTATGTTAAACTTGGGGGTATATATCATGTATATTAGAACAAAACGCATTTGGCTAGCAGGTCAAACAACGGATGTTCTTAAACCCTGCTGACTGCCGTTGTTCGACCTGCTATTCAAATGTGTTTTGTTAAAATATACTTTGTCACTTTTTTGGTCTTTTGGAAAATGTTGTTTGTGCTGTATTTAGACCCCCTTACCAAGAAATTTGTTTTGAATGCACACGTTTAAAATTGCGGTTTTTATTCAACGCAATCATAGGTTTGACACGTTGTTTTCAATTTAGACTTACATGTATATTAGAAATATATATTTCTAGTTCTATTTCTAATATAACCGCCTTGGTTAATTTAAACACACCATTAGATTTACTTAGTTACTGGAGCCTACTAAATTATTTATGAAATTTAAACAAATTGAGAAATTATCCTTATAAACCATTTAACTGACTGAGGTTATATAAATATTCAATGATTAATGAGATCCTTGACAGTTTTAATTAATTTCCTATTGAAATATGTGTGATTTTTATAGCAAATTGTTTATGGTATTTATGCTCATCTTCAATTGCGCATTTAATTGTTCGTATTTAATTGTTTGTATTTAATTGTTTGTATTACATTTGTATGTTATGCTACACGTAAAAACAAATGGTCTTTTGTCTACCTTAACAAAGTTATATAATCAAGGTTAAACTTGCCTTTATTAAATTATAAATTGAGGTAAAATCAATTGAATGTTTTTAAACTAAAGAGATTATATTAAACTTTTATTTTAAAAGAAAATAACTTACTCAAACTGTCTCATTATAAGGTTAGGTTAACATAACCAAGTTTAAATCAAATAGCAGTCTATAAATCAATAGGGTCAACAGCCCAATTACAAGTTCTTTGACTGAGATCAAACAGAAAATACAATCTGACCTAATGGTCAAACGCACCCTTTAAAACCAATAATTATTCATCAGACTGATCTGTAACCTGATCTAGTGATCAAAAACACAATGGTTTATCATTCATTACAATATTTACTGGATCAAACAAAATCTGGTAACCTAACCCACTGGTCATCAGCCAGAATTACACACCCTCTCAACAAAAGGAAATTAGTCCTGTCAATATTTGAGGGCCTCAGGGAAAATTAGTTTTGTAGCTAACTGTGTAACCCTCTTTAAATAAAGAATTGTTATTATTATATTATTATAATATAGTTCACAAATTCTTTCATATATTTGCTCCAAGTATGAAAAGCAAGCAGTTTTCATTTATTTGTCCTTCAAGCTTCTTTAAAGAAAAAACGTCAAGTATCGGAATTTTAATTAGTTTTGCTACCACTGATTCTAAGGTAAATAGTGATATGGTCAAGTTAAAAAAAAAAGGTCCAAAATGGGTATGTCTCAGAGGCTGTCAAACTGAATTCAAGATACTCTTAACATATAATTGTCCTATAAGTAGTACAATTCACTGTAAAAATCTTATTGGGAAAGCACCAGTTCTAAAGAAATGAACTACAAATTATGTGTGTTCTCGGACAATACAGAGGTTGTACTATAAAAACATATCTTGTTTCTGTTCTGGCTATTGTTTCTAATGGACAGGAAATTACTAACAGTCTTATCATCAGACAGAACCTTTAACAATAACAATACCAGTTATTTGTCATTTAAACAGACAAAAACAATTCTGATATTCTATTCTTTAAAAAAAATACTTCCGTAGTTTTGCCAATTTGCATACAAGTCATCTTTTTAATGTACTCATTGATTTTGGGTTTTACATGTCTATTCAATATTGTTATTTTTAAACAATTTGTCAATGTTTTTTTTCTGTTTTAATGTTTATTTTATGCTAATTTATAAAACTTTATCAAAACAGATTGAAACCAATTGTCAGTGTATGAAGGTCAAGTCAATTATTCAGCATAAGAAAACGTGATCAAATCTTTAAACAATTTATCATAATTCCAATATGTCAGTGAACAAAAAATGAGAATGGATAAAACCAACAAAATTTTGTATTTGTAATAAATTTGATCTTTTTTCTTTTTCATGTTTTTCTGGTAATTTCTGAATGAAACATTATATATGAAAACACAAGGTATCTCAGATTATATGCATATCTATCACATGTGGTCTGTTTTTTTAACGTCACATAATTTAAACTGACATAACACACCAGACAATGAAAAAAGTTAAATAATTTCTTTAACAATACAAAGAAGATATAAATTAAAATTGACAAGATATATCCAATATAGTTATATAAAATATCATTTTACAGTTCTGTGGTCTCGGTTGTGGTGAAAGACTACAGAAATATTTCCTGTCAAAATATTTTTTTCTCTGTTATATAACTAAACAAAATTTGAGAAAGTTACCAATGAAGGAAAGGTCAGTAACATGGATAGAATTCCATATTGAGTGTAAAAATTATTCAGGTACTCCAGTTTACACCTTATAGACATATTTACACTTGTATGCAAATTTGTCCACAATTACTTAAAGTCACACAAGTTCCCACAAAATATGCATCACAATTTAAGAAATTTGACATCATAATCAAAAAGTGATTGTTGCTTGACTTCAGAAGGTTTTTCCGAGACAGATATATAGGGTCATTTGGAGACAAAATTCAGCTAAATACCAAATGTGCAAATACATCTTTTGCTATTTGTCCTCAAATACTGGATCACAGATGTTATTGTAAAATTTTACTTCACAATAGAGAATGTCTGACTCCCCTGTAAAAGCTAAAGTTATTGTTGCATGATGCAATATGTCAATTAAGTCTCCCAAAATCTTTTGTCAAGTGTTGCGGATTCATAAAAAGGGATAATGTCTATTACTAATTATTTACTCATGCTAATATGAAAATTCTACATAAACAGTGGACTTTGTGAACATTTTCTTTTAATATTCCACATATTCTTGAACTTCCAGTTCCCCTGTCTTAAAAAAATCTTGTCCTCATATAAATTTTCTATTAAAATGAAAGATTCATACCACAAAAATCGTCTTCTACAAGTCTTTCATTGGACCCTTTATAAATCTCAGATTTGGGTGTTAGTTGTGGTCGAAGTGGAAGACCTGGTTTGATATCTTCTAATATACTACCACACGAAGACCGACTCTGGGCATCAGATGATGTCCTGTCCCTCCTTGGAGGGAGGGGTGGAGGGACAGGACTGGCAGACTGTTCCTCCTTTTCTGTGGAGTTGGTAATGATTGTCGTCTCCTCATAATCATTCTCCTTTGGTGGACTCTGAACTCCTTTAGGTACAGGAATCTCATATAGATTTACTTCATTTTCTATTATCTCACTGAAAAAGAAAAAAAAATCTTATAGAAATTTATCTCTTTTACAATATAAAGTATACCACTGAAAAAGAAAAGTCTCAAACTATTTGACAGGTAGTTACACACAAAGAGAAAAGAAAACAATTGGAGAAATTTATCTCTTTTACTGGTATATCATTGATAGAATCTCATAGAAATTCATTAAATTTTCAGGTATACCAATGAAAAAGATAAAAAAAAAACAACATTCCAAATTGAAAACAAATTCCTTAATTAATATTATTTTTTATTTCCGTTTTAATTTAATTTCTCTTTGGATCTTACTTAACTATTTAAACATTTTATTTTTCAAATGTGTCTGACAATAAATGATGGTTAAACCCTATACCTCAATAATAAGTCTGTTTTCCTGTTAGGAAGTCCAAAGAATATTTCAAGATTCCAATAACCAAAGATGAGGCTTCTTGTGTTTAGTGAGGCTTGTTGTCTTAGACAAGGGAGATGACTCAAATTCTTACTTGAGGGTGACTTAGAATTTTAATTCTTGAGATCTGTGAGTGTTTTAATCTTTTTCTCCCTTGTTCTAAATTCAAAAGAATTCAAACATTTATAAAACTAGCAAACAAAGGAACAAGTACCAGCCCTTGCTCCACCATGGCATGTGAGACTTCTATCTCATTCTAAAGGACAATGTGATAACTAAAATCAAGGATAGAGTAACAAATTCTTTCCCAATTAAAATATGGTCTTGTTAAAGAATTACTACATGTATATATATATACTGGAGAAAAGTTGTAAAACAGTCTATCAGAGCCTCTTTTTGAGACACAATTTTAATAAACTTCTTAAATTTGTTTAAAATTAGGTAGTGGGAAGTCCTTATTCACAGCACTTTACAAAAATAGAAGAAAAGTGTATCTGAGGACACGAATGCCCCCGCTGAAGCCTCAAACAAACGAAAATGGGACAGACAAACAGACGGAAAGATGGAAGGATGGAAGGACAGACGACAAGGGTAACACTTTATGACCCTGTCACCTACAGCAGGGGCATAAAAATAATCTCAGACTAAGTTTAAGGTAATTTTTACTATGGGTTCCTGGTGCTGTAAACTGGTAAACAATTAGGAATTAAAAGTTTAGAGTTTGAGCTGATTCAGACAAGTGTAACACAATCCTTTGTTTAAAGTTTTGACGGTTCTGTGAAATGTTTTGAGTTGATTGTTGTGACAATGTTTGAGACAAGGATGTAGTGCGTCATCTGTGTTGTTAGTTATTCTATTGTAAATACATACAATGCTGTCAAAATATTTCTCGATGAATCAGCTAGCATCATCACAAAATTAAAATCAAACATTTAATATAACACAGTACTTTTCTATATTTTCAATCAAATGAGATGTGGATTAAATGTAAATGTGACAGCAACCCAACAGTGCAAGTTTATCAAAAAAGACATCTAAAGGTCACCATTTGATCTTCTAAGCAAGAAGCAATTAGGATTCGACAGCCACATCCAAATACCTTAAACAACTCCCAATATTCTCACTTAATGTAAAGAATAAAACACAGACTAGATTCCTACTGTGGCACACCCACATGTGGTGGCAGTGATAAACTAGTTTATTGAGTTCTCAACCAATACCAAGTTAACTTGAAGGTACTAAAATGTGCTGTTAGTACCTTTCTTGATTACAAATACAAACAGGTGTATATTAAATATCAATGAGACAGCAACCAACCAACACAAGTTTATCAAAATAGACATCTATAGATCACAATCTTCAGAAAAGATGTAAATAGATTCGACAGAGACATCCAAATACCTTAAACAAATATCAAATTATCAATTAAAATGATACATTAATAGAAATAAACAAGCACGGACTAGATTCCTATTGTGGCACAGGCACAGAAAATAGTTTAGTGAGGTACAGAAAATTTACTTAGTGTCTTTAGAAATTTCCTTTTTTTTCTTTTTCATTTATGGATTTGATGCATCATATTTTTGTAAAACAAAATGTTATTCAAATGTCAATAGTGACAGAGGACAAAAAAAAGGTTATGGTAAAACATTGGGAAGACCTCTGCCTTACTTCTTGTCAACTTTCAAAACTAATTATAATAAAATTAACATTGAAAAGTAATAACAGCGTTAGGTTGAAACTATATAGGATATGTTCAATTATTGTTTTATACATATGGGAGTATTCTGTTTATCATGTTGACTCAGATAAGCAATTCTTTATAACACTCTAAGGTTCTATTACAAATCTAAGCCCTTTTAAATTCCAAAAGATTATTGTCTCCCTTGAATTTACTGTATTTGCATGTATCTGAATTTTAGCCCCAACATTACTGCACGTTTCTGGAGGTTTGTTTAAGAAGTACAATTTCAAAACCAGAGTAACAAAGTTGGCGCTGGAGGTTAGTTTCAAGCTCTGCCAGGAGTCACTTTTGCGTAATTTGACCTTAGTAATAACTTTTGATTGTCTCAGAAAAGTTTCTTGGAAAATAACCAATATAATTTAAGCAGAATAACAAGAGAATGTGCATATGAAAACAAAATTATTTTTCTCCTTAAATGTTGAGACTGGGTAAAACAAATGATTGATATAACATACTTTGGTTGTTTGGTTGCTATCTCATTGCATCAACATTTATTTATATATACATATTATCAAAGCTATTTAAAGTTTGTTTTGGCATTGTAACATCCATTTAAATTACAAAAATTCTTTCAACCTCACCAACATTTTTGAAAAAAAAAACAATGACAGCTTCTTTCAAAAAGTTCAGAAATAACCAACTTCATTAATATTCGAAGAGAATCAATTTCATTATTTTGTATAAAAACAATTAGATAATCTTTGTTTTATGAGATTACTAGAAGGCAGTTTATATATTATTCTTATGGACTTTTATATATAATACAAATCAATTATTTATATGCATATAAATCAATATACATGACAACTGCCTATCTGACATATATTGTTTTGTGATTGTCATTGAAATACATATCATAGACAATACATAGGTGTTTTATAAGTGTATTTTATATGACATTCTAAATGAATATGTCAATCATATAGAACATATTTACCTTATTTAGATATAAAGGTATGGCTTAATGACCAGGTGATGATTACCAGTGAATAAAAGGGGATGTGGGGTCACTATACATCAATGAGATAGCAATTAACCAACAACACAAAGAACCATAATAAATCTAGATAAACTATCAAAAGTCAAACCAATTTTTAGACCAAACAAAAAAATTCAATTAAACTTCTATTTATCCTTGTAAGCCCAGTCAGTGTACTGTTTTTAAATGAGATCATTTAAAAAGGACCTATATTTTGGAATATTAAGTTTTTAATGTATCCTGCTATGAATTAATACATAATATCACAATTAATTCACAATGAATTTATAATCTTAATCTGCAACAAAATCTCAACGTGAAAACAAATGAACTTAGGTAAAACAGGGGTTCAAAATTGATTTTAGAGGTAAAAGGTCAAGGACTTTAAGGATTTACAAATCAAAGGTCCACTTTGGAAATTTATAGGTCAGGTGTGAAAATTACTCTCAGGAGTTGAAGATCATCTGAACTTTGGGATATAAAAAATCAAAGGTCCATCTTTGATATTACAAAGGTCAGGGACCTCAGACCTCCATTAAAAACATACTGTACTAAAGAAGTTAAGGTAAATGTACTATTTATAAAGAACGGATAATTAATGTAGGGCTACCCTAATCACAGGCATTTCTCATTAACTTGAAATTTTACATAATGAAATTTGAATCATTGTTATTTTCTAGACAACATTATGCTTGACAAAATACATTTAGGTACTAAATATTCATGACTTTTACCTTAAGATGAACTTTAAGGAGGCATGCATAATAGTAAATAATTACTACACCACATATGGATAATTTATGTGACAAAAACAAGGACAGTGTACTAGGTGTAACATATATCATCTGTCCAAAAACACAAACATGTCCACGCATCCTTCATTTTATAATAAAATACTAAAAAACCTATTTATCATAGTCCATATGGTAACCAAGGTTGAGTGTTTTTTTTTTGGTTTTCAAAGCGGAAAAAATCGGTGCATGTCAAATTTTGTCAGGATTTGTTGTCCATTAAAAATCTATGAGGAGGTAAACGCTTAATCACTTTTGTTGGGTTACTGTCAATTTTGTTCCATACAGATACGATTAACTGACAAGAAATCCAGCACAAAACTCTTTCCTAATAGGTTTACTTACCCCGGTAAGTGTTTTTATAGCAATTATTTGGACCTAGTTATAGCAGATATGTCTTCTGTCAGATGACTGCTTTAAGGACATATGTGTCCTTAAAATATAAAAGATATTCTTTTCTGTAAACTTGCTATTTCATTCATTCAAAAAAGGATTAATCAGATTTAACATAGTTGGGTAAGCTGGAATATCAAAGTTAAGGTTTTTTTATTTTAAAAATTGGGACTCCAACCCTACTGCCATTGTATTCAAATTTTAAACAACTTAACTCATATCATAAGGCTTAGCTATGATTGAATAATTAAACATTACTTTTAGCATAGTTTCGAGAGAAAGTGTTTTCAATAAAATTGAAACAGAAAGCTAACATAAGACTGCAATAGTGATGTCTGCCAGGACATTGCATAACCAAATGAAAAAGCAACCAAATTCGGTAAAAGCTGGTAAAACAAGCCTGCTTCAACCTCTGTCTACCAAATTCATATCAAACTTTGGCATTCCAGCATTTATTAGGTGTAATGCTTTTTTACTTGCCAGAGGATATTATTGTATATATATATAACATAAAAAAAATTAGCAATAAATCTCAGTTGCTAACTCCAATGCATGTTGGTGTGCCAAGATATAAACATGCCGTACATGTCTCTACTGTAACACGAAAAGTCCAAAGTTTAAAATGTACGTCACCCCTTATTCAAGTTTACGTAATGTATAGCAAACAATGTGTCTTTGACATAACTTAATGTGTAAGATATGCCATGTTTTATCATTTAGAATAGATGGCATCTTTTAAATTTCAAATGTCACAGGACCACATGAGTGGTGTTGTCACACAATTGCCACATGACAGTTGCATGATATTTCACTTTTTCTTTTAAAAATTTTGGACAATTTCTTTTCGACACAAACATTTTAGTTATGAAAAAAAGGATTTTGATATTCTGCTTGCACACATCTTTTTGCGACTATGACTTAATGATTACTATGAGTCCATCAGCCACTTGGGTCTTTGAGAAATCAAAACAAAGAAAAGTACATGGCTGACCATGAAGTTTATAGATACCAGTCTGTATCATACACAAACAAATATTACATAGATTTTTTTTTTATTTTTCTGAATTTAGTATCAAAATAAACAGATATGATTAACGTCATCTTTGTAACTTCATATAAATCCGTGACAATATTCAACCCCCTCAGGGTTGACAATAAAACATCATCATTTTGAAATGAACTTGTTATGAATTTTATGTCATAGCAATGTTGGTACATAATCGTTAAAACCTAACCTACATTTTAATTTTATTGTCCAAATTTTGAGACAAATGATGTCAAATTTTAACTATTAATCATTTTTATATTTAATGTTTAGTTACATCAAGTTCATCACTTTTGTTGAAAGAAGTTTAAATTCTGTAAAACATGATCATTTGTATTCTTCCAATTTAGAAGTATGAACTATTTTGCTGTTCCAAAAGATCATAAGTTAGTCACGTTTGTTTTCCTTTGTAAAAAATCAAACATTTGTGAATATTGAGATCACTGCATCAATCTAACTTTCATTGGAATAAAAAAAAGACAAAATCCTATGTATCTTTTCTGATACTTTTAAAGTCATACAACTATGTTATATCATACCTGTTATTATTCTGGTGGTCTATATCATCATACAACTTGACTCTCTGAAAAAAAAAGAAATAGGATAAAATACCATTGTGTCACAATACATATAGAACATTCCCATGCCAATAAAACCTTGTGACACAACAGGATAAAAGACATTCTCAGCCAAATTACTTCTCTTATGTAAAAAAAAATCTTGCTGAATTATGCAATTGGTCAAGAATTATTGTTTTGACACTTTCAAAATGTGGTTTGATTTATTGGGTTTGACACTTAACTGCTGATCATCTGTCTAATTTTATAATTGCTAGTTTCATCATTAAATGCCAGTTAAATGACATTAACATTCTAAGAGTAAAATCCAATACAAACTGGTGTGTTACTTCAAAACAAATACAAAAGTCAGTGGTTCTCTCTGAGTACTACTGCATCCTCCGCAAATAAAAACTGGACATAATGATAAAGTCAAAAAAGCTGATAAGTGGCATATTAAACACCAATAAACAATCAACCAAAGCAAAAAGAAGGATTTAGATATCCCGAAGATTTAATGGCATTCATCAAAATTATATATGACAAATATTTCTGGTTGAATTTTCAGCTAAAAATATCAAGAGCAATTGTGTGACCGAATAACAGAAATATTTTAAGCGCCATTGTTCAGGTACCTGCTGTCAAATGTAATTGAAAACTGCTTATAATACAAACTATCTGACTCATGTGAATACCATTGACAACATTTTAGTACTTCCTACACCTAAAAACAAAAATTGCACAATTTTTTTCAATCAGATATTTAAAGTCACATATTTCCAAAATGCCTGGTAATTGACTAGATGTCTGGATGATAAAAAAAAAAGAATGTCAAGTTGGTAATTTAGCAGTTTTTATATTGTTAAGTAAGATCAAAGACACAAATTAAAAACACCTCAGGTTTAAACATAGATCAAACAAAAATACATACTTCAGCATAAACATTCATCAACATTTAAGCGAGACTGTCTTAATTTTTATATTAAAATTATAATGTGATTCATCCAGTTCTTCTTGATTTTCATTAATTCCTGAAATATTGTTAATGCTCTACACCCATTATACATACATATTCTTAAATAATCATGTATATTCAGGTTCAAGAAGAAAAGGAATGGGAGCAGTTCATGTCAGTGAAACAATTTATAAAAAAACAGAAGAACTAAAGATATATCTTGAGGGCAACTATTGTCTGCAATACTGGAGACTCTTGTTTAAACAAAATATCAGTTTTTCTTGCACTGAAAGAAGTTAGTTGGTTGTTGATGTTTGCTTAAAATCTAGTGGAAAATATTTCATGCATATTCAGGACAAAGCACTTAAAACTAATTACTATTTTGTTCTTGAATTATTTTTCACTGTCCTACTTATTTTTTTTGTGTTTATTGTGATTTATATTCGTATTGCCTAATAAGACTATTGGCATTCAATTATATGATGGAAGTTAATTCTTAGGAAATCATCTGGATTGTTGTGCCACTCAAACCTAGTTTACACTCAAGACACTTTAGGGGTAATTGATTCCAGCCCTGTATAGTCCTCGTCCTTAAATGAAGCAGTCAGTACAGAAGATAGCACTGTACTTTACTAAAATTTCTAAGTAGCTTGAGAACCAACAAATTTGTCCTGGAGTCATTGGTGTACCCTGTTTATACTTATGACTGTCTGCAAAAAGAACAATTTTCTTCTTATATTGCACTAAAACCAGTTTATTGGTTGGTTAATGATTGCTAAAAGTCAAGAGGAAAATATCTCATGCTTAATTAGAATGATGCACTGAAATTTAAAGTCCTGCAACTCATTTCACAAAAAAAAAAAAAAAAAAATACTAAGTCATGAAAATTTCATTGTAACTTATGATCAATTATTGTCGTAAGATTTTAGGTGAAAAGAGCCCCTGCATCAACTTACAAAATATCCTATTTTTTTTTTGGCAAGTGAAAATTAATCAGCAGCTGCAAGCGTTGCAATGCACTTCTGTAAAATTAAATGTAGAATCCAATGGTTTTGCACTGGTATCAGTCTGTACAATTCTGATATATTGAATGATAACTGAATCTATCAATTTTCATATCTCTATCAGTTCTTAAAATATTAATAGATAGTGCATACAAAATTAAGTAAATATTCTACATGTATAGGTACTGCCTAACTTCTGGTACCATTTAATCATTAGTGGATTAATTACATTTAATTGATAACCTTGCACAAAATTTCCTATTAGTCTTCTATTAATTTATTATTATACCCTTAAGGTAAAAAAATATCTGAATTTCCTGTATAGTTATATAATGTGTTTTCTAATTAAAATGAAGAATGCAATAGTCATCCTCCTTCTTTACAAGATGGTGCAACTTTCTCACATTTTGTGAGGATCATTATCTCAGTTATGTAACTGTAAATAAACCTTATTAGAATTTGAAATATATATTTGACAGTGACTTTGCAAAATTGAATTCAATACTCTTTTATATTCTGGGTGATTCAAATTCAAGTTTTATATATTGTATAAACAAGAGTCTATTAATATTTATGAAGACCCAGCATGTTGTTTTCCATATATATTTGAGTATTTTTTATATCTTTTGGTTGTTTACGGAATATATATGACATGTATACCCCCACTCCTTTTATTCATAATTCAGAAAAATAAATTGTCACCATTCTTATTTTCCCTGTTCGAAACAAATAGGTATTTGTAAAATCCATAGTACCGTCTGATTGGGAATTTCTTTAAATACCCTTTCATTATCAACACCATTTAATTTTGCAAATCAGGATCTTTTGCATTGTGTTTCATATAAGTGCAAGTTCAATTTAAATTGTCAAATGGATTTCAATGAAACTTTACACAGAAATAGTATATACACTCTTATTTACTGCAATCTAATTAAAATTATATCTCCGCACTTGCTCCTCGTTGTTTATATGTCGCGCCCACGCGCGACATATAAACAACGAGGAGCAAGTGCGGAGGTATAATTTTAATTAGATTGTATTTACTGAAGACAAAGGCAAAATAAATCTTCAAAAGGGAAACTCAAATACAGTCCATAGGTCTGAGGATTCTAATGAAACTTTACACATAAGGAGTACACTATGCGAAGGAAATAATTTGATACTTTGCAATTGTAGCTGCAGTATCATTGCACGATGTAAATCACAATATCTTTCCGTGCCTTCTATGTATGCGTCTTGAACTCAAATTTACCCTCCAAAAAACTTCTTATATTTATACTATCACAATTTCTTCCAGTCTTATATTTCATTCAAAGTGTTCATTTAAGAAACTGTCATATAAGACAAATGAAATTCTAATAAACTGTCTGAAATGATGGAATATAATGCTAGAAAAGGATGGGTTCATTTGCTGTAACTGAAACATGATTCTAAGCAGACAGTATTTAGAGTGAGAAAAACAGGATTTCTTAGTAAAGCATATAATGATAGATAGAACCTGCTAAAAGATTTATTTGTTAGACTGTGATGTTGTCTGTACAGGTTCCTTCTTGTTTTAACAACTCACCATGTCTGATGAACATTCTTTTTATTGGGGAAAACAGGATTAATTGACTGATTGATTGATTGGTGTCTGCTTTACAGGATATAAGACTGATAAGGTCAGGGGCAGATTTTTTTATGCATTTTGTGTGTGTGTGGAAGGGGGGTAAGATTTATGATTGAGCCAGAAGGGTCAAGGACTCCCTCCTTTATATGATAAATGCATAGACGTTCTACAAGTATTACTATGAAAATTGGCTTGCCAGCCCCACCCCACACCCCCACCTCCTTTCCCTCCCCTCTCCCACATTCAACATCCTGGATTGGCACCTGAAGGTTAAGATGCACATTTAAAGAACTAAACCACAATCATGATAACAAGTAATGCAATGAAACAAGTCTTCTGCTACCTTCTTTGTCACTTTATGATTAGCAAGATATGTTTGTTAGAGAGCCTCCTACAGATTATTGTTACAATCATTATTGTCATAAACTAGTTATTTAATTGTACACTTGTCCATAAAAGTACTGATCTCTGTCATAAAAGTTCTAAAATACTGAAAACAATCGCTGGTATGATTACTGCAATATTCTAGGATATAAAACATTGTAGAGATCATGATCAATACATGCCAATTACGGAAGGTATACTTTTATACTTGGGAAGTATATCAAAACAACAACAGCTGTACAATAATGAGACAACCAAGCTCTAATTTCTATTAATCTGACATAAAATTAATAGTATCTCTGATGTGAGGTCAGTAGTTTGACCAGATGGACAGCTGTTACCCAAGATTTGATTCCTGTCTATTGTCAGCTTAAAGTTCAGAAGGTCCCAACTGAATGCTAGGTTCATGTTTTGTTTTCATAACCATGATTCCCTGACCTTTTCTACATATGAAATAAACTATTAGCCACTTTTATGAATGACTTTTCACAAACAATTACAAACTACCATTAGGAAGTATAATCACCAGCTTGCTTATTTCTTTGAATATCTTAAAGGAGTACCTGAAATTAAAGGTCACAAATGCAGCTTAACATATACAGATTAACAGTTTTAATTCTTGAAACCCGGAGTATTGTTATTCCTATTATAATGCAAAAACAGTAAAATGTTCAAAATGAAACATTTTTAGTACAAAGGAAACCTGTGTGTTGTGATTGTGCAATGTTGTTGCCAGTGAAATCCTCAGACCTAGTTTAGTTCACTTTAAAAGATATATGTATATGCCAATGACTGTCAACCATGGAATTGACAAAAAACATCATCCAATTTCAAGTAGAGTTACATATAATATGGCATTGGAATTAAAAATTCCCTAGTTTACAGGTTTTATCACTCTTACAATTGACCTACCAATTCTTCTTCACTGTATCCTCCTGACAGTAAGGATCTTGAGAGTTCCCGTTGGTATGCCACAAAATCTTCATCCTCTATAGATGTTGGTGATCTTAATTCTCTGTCAGGAGAGCTCTGGCGGTGCAGGTTTGGTGAACCATGGATTTCTACAGTCGTTTCTAGTCTTGTGGCTTCACAAAAGAGAACAAATATTGTATATTCACAAAAAGAAAAATAAAAGATTTTGCTGTATACCCTTCAATTAGCATGTCAGATTTGCCGTTCATTAATTGTTTTGTTATAAATCTAGCCATAAGATTTTCTTATTTAAATTGTTGAATGGAGTTTTATAGCTGACCATTCAGGACTAGTTTTGTTCATTGTTGAAGGCTGTACAGTGGCCTATAGTTGCAAATGATGATCCATGTCATTTATGATGATCCATGTCATTTAGATTTTGGTGGATAGCTGTCCATTGGCAATTTTACTTTATCCTATACTTATGATATTTGTGACTACCTTACATCAGCAGGGCACTGGATGTTTGAAGCAACCAACTATCAATCAATCAATACATCAGCAGGGAAATCACACAATGAAAAAAACTTCTTAGTTTGAAATTCTTAGATGATTGAGCTTCCTGAGCAAATATTATTGAACAATTTTGTAATGATTTGAAGTTAATCTAAGAGATTTTCCCCCCAGTTTTTGTTTGGTTCAACCTTTTGTAAATAGTCAATGTAAACATAATCTGATGGTCTTTAAGAGGCAAATATACAAGGGTATATAGTCATATAATAAAAACAGCTCTACTGCACTTGAATACAATCAAAGAGACCTGATATAGCATTCAGTGGGATAACTATATTTGTCAACATTTTATCTACTGTCAAATCTTACATTCGTACCATTACATATAATGTCATTCTTCTGTCTAATTGTGTAACTCAACATCTTTAATAGTGTCTATTACAGTACAAGACCTCAAGTTATATTTCATCAAAAGAATTTGCAGTTCACAAAGTCAACCTGTAAGCATATCTGCATGCATTTTTTCTCAAAACTTAAAAATAATTTGCTTTAATGATTTACACATTAACATGGCTAGAAATATATGTGATTGTAATCATAATAAGCTAAAATACTTAACCCATTTGGGAAACTCTTAAATATTATATAATATAAACATATTTATATGAACTCAACGAGATACTAGTTTTGACAAACAGAAATAGGTAAATTGAATAAAAATATGTATTTTTGAGACGCTTTTTTTAGTCTAATGATGCATGTTCATAGAGCATGTACAAATTAATTTTAAATTTTGGATTAAGAATGTAATTTTGATTCATGGATAGAAAGAGAAATTGAGTTCATGTAAAAACCACATGAATATAAAGAAGAAAAAAGTTTGACATATGGAAAATGCCTGAGGGCAATCATTTAGTTAGCTCTCCCATATTTGAAAATAACAACTGACTAAAATGCAAGTTCGTTTTAAGTAACATGCAACAGGGTTTTCTAATTACATTTATTGAAATATCTGATTTTAAACACAGTACTAATATCTCAATTAAATTAAAATCTTAAATATTAAGTAAAGATTTTGGTGTAAAATTAGGAAAATAATGCCTCTAAAGTATCTTCTCCTTTCTGCAAGGGAGATAATCAATAATCTCCAATGTTATCCCCTTGAACTTAAACATTTCTGCTGTCAGTAATGTGTAATATAATAATTTTAGAAACTTTTAAGAGTTTACTGCACATTAGACTATAAACTAATTTGAGGACCATACTGCAACATCTTTTTCTTTGTCTTTGGCCTTTGTGGGTAGACTTACAGACAGAATGGGCTGTGAGGGTAGGAATGGGGTACCCCACATGACAAATGACGGTAAAAGATTTATCAAAATAATGTTATCAATAAACATTTTACTCCATTTGACACTAGCAGTAGCTACAAATTGAGTTTTGATGAGTTACAATAAAAATTTAAGGCTCATTTGACCCTAAAGATAGCGAAAAACAGACGTTTGACACTCCATTTTAAAGGGCATTCCTACCCTTCTACTATTGGTATAAAACTGTTAATTTGTCTTCAACAGAATAAAATGTACAAACTAAATGACTTGTGTACTAAACAAAATTAATCATTAATCTCATTGTTTGGAAATGATCAATTTTACTGATTTAAAAAGGGCAATATAAATCAAGTTTATTTTGAGATCAGTTAAATAATTACAAATCGATACAAAAAATACAGGATGTAGTCCAACTATTTTAAGAAAGACGTAGTTTTAGGCGTAAGCAATTGTAATGTACAATTAAAAAAAAAGTTAAGTCGTCATGCATGCAAATTTATTCTGATACTTTGTACTGAATAAATTGACTTTTGTGAAAGCAATCTATTATAAGTGTTACAAATTATTCCACTAAGGAAACTTCTATACACCTGTTTGACATACCTATCAAATAATTAGTAGTAATTATCCTCTTATATCACATGACATTGTAATTACTTCTTATTTACAATATTTGTATATACATATCTGTATATATATATATATATACCAGTAATCTATTCACTTCTATGCAATTGTATGTAAATCCATATGCTTTCTGTGCAAATGAGAACATTTATACAAGAGGAACCAGTGAATTTTGTTTTAATGGTTTATGAATTACACAGTAAAATGTCAAACAAATGTCAACAATGCTATTAGTAAAAGACAGCAACCAAACAACAACAAATTAGACATCAAGAAGTCAACAAATGGTCTTCAAAATTAGACCAAAGTGTCTATGCCAAGTTCTTAATCATCTAGAGTTGAAAAAAAGCTGTGAATAAATTTAACAGATACCACCAAGATGACAAAATGAATACAAATGAGGATTCTTATCATTTATCTGATCTGGATTCCAACCTCAATAATTTTTGTACATATTCATATCATAGCAAAGAATCTGTCACTGGTGCATACTAAACCATTGTTGTAAAGGCAGTATTTTGTTAATACTTGTACTAGTATAACTAAACCCATGAGCAACATAACGGGTGCCACATGTGGAGCAGGATCTGCTTATCCTTTGGGAGCACCTGAGTTCACTACTCGGTTTTTTGTGGGGTTTGTAATGCTCAGTCTTTTGTTTTCTATGATGTGTTTTGTTATGCTGTTGTTCGTCTTTTGGTCTATTTTTTTACGTAGCATTGTCAGTTTATTTTCGATTTATGAGTTTGAATGTTGCATTTGTATCTTTCGCCTCTCTATTACTAAACCCATGTTGTATAAAAGCTTTATTACTTACCACTTGTCCTTGGAGGAACTGATGGCGGAAGTTGGAGGATATCTAATCGTTCTACGAAATACTGACGTTGCTGTTCAGCTTGTTCAGATAGATTCTCCTTAGCTAAAGTTTTGCACAGGAAATCTTCTATGCCTGGTAACAACTCTAAATGTCAAATAGAAAACAGAAAATTACAAACTAATTTTACATGCTCAAAGCTTTTAGACTTGTTTTTTGATATATAAACCATTGACTGTTTGAGTTTAAAAAAGTGTTTATCAATTCATTTGGACTGTCAATAGAGAAATGCAGGGAATCAAAAATCAGAATAATGTTCTAAACAAGTTAGCAGGGTAGGCAGAAACCCCTCAACTTCAAGATCTGCCGCTGTTTTACATTTAAAAAAAGATTACCACCAAACTATTAACCTGGTCCGAGTACACAGTTATTTCGTAGTGCATTTCTTTTAGACAATAAATGAAAATTAAAAAAATCCCACCTGCGCTTTCTCAATAATATTTTTACAGTGTGTTGTACTACTTTTGGGACAAATTATATCAAAATTATAGAAAACTTCATCGGCTCTAACTCAAAATATGGACAATTTCATGTTAAGGGGGTCTTCAAATCTTTTGACAGCTTCCGAAGTGCTAATTTTTAACATTTTTCAGCTGGACCAAATCACTACTTTACTTTAAAATTCATGACCCAAATTTTTTTACAGTGTCATTTCACCCCCCTACTTACTATTTGAGTCATACAACATGGAGAAATAAATTTGGAAGGGGTATAAAAAAAATTCGTAAGGGTTCCGCGGAACCCAGTGTCTCACCTACTTTTGCTGTTAATCACAGGCTCAACAAAATTGAGGAAAAAAATTAATAAAAATATTCCTCTCTATACTATCTTTTGATTGTAAGTAGCTTCTGTCCAAGTTTGGTAAAAATCCAGGATAGTTTATGAATCTAATAAATGTTTTAAAAACTTAAACTGCAGACTGTTATGTAATGTTAACTGGAAGAAAAACTAAGTCCATTTATAAGTAAAATACGGAAAAAATGGAACAAAATTTTAACAAAATTTCCTTTTAGATACTAGCTCTTAATCATAAACAAGCTTCTGTCCAAGTTTGGTACAAATCCAGGATAGTTTAAGAAAGTTGTTAAAATTTTAAAAACTTTAACCACAGAGTGAATGTAATGTTAACTGGCAGAAAAACTAAGTCCATTTATAAGTAAAATACGGAAAAAAAAGATTATTTTTTTTTTTAAATTTACTTCTGGATACTATCTTATGATCATAAACAAGCTTCTTTCCAAGTTTGGTACAAATCCAGGATAGTTTAAGAAAGTTATTAAAATTTCAAAAACTTTAACCACAGAGTGAATGTAATGTTTCCTGGCAGAAAAACTAAGTCCATTTATAAGTAAAATACGGAAAAAATGGAATTTTTTTTTTACAAAATTTACTTTTGAATATTATCTTATGATCATAAACAAGCTTCTGTCCAAGTTTGGTAGAAATCCAGAATAGTTTAAGAAAGTTATTAAAATTTCAAAAACTTTAACCACAGAGTGAATATTTGTGGACGCCGCCGACGACAACGACGACGACGACGACGCCGACGGAATGTAGGATCGCTATGTCTCGCTTTTTCGACAAAAGTCGAAGGCTCGACAAAAATCAACAAGTAACACACTGTCCACACTAGGGACTATATTCGTGGACAACGAAAATCAAAGGACGCTAACTGTGTACCCGGACCTAATAGGGTAGAAAAAGTTGACCAATCTTTATGAAACTTGGTATGACCAAAGCTTATTAAATTATAAGACTGCTTACAAAGTTTCATGGCAATAGGATATATATTATAGACAATATGACTAATTCTATATTCAACTTTGCGTGTTAAATTTAGATGTTAAAATTGAAAATTTTCAACTATCAACATTTGGGGCTTAAAAAATTAAAATATTGCAAAAAAATACTTTTGAAATGCCTTAATATATAATATATTATGTATTAAAAGCAATAGAGTACTCATTTGATCTATCAGACTTATCATAATTATTCAAAAGTCAAATTTATATGAGCCTGTGGCTAAAAATGGAGGTTTTCCAATGAAGGGGGGCCTTACATGAAGATGTAATATTTTCCAGCAATTTTAAATTTGTAAAGCTTTTTGGTTATAAATAATCCTTACATATGTATTTAATGTACTTTAAATGGAAAGAAAACTTACAAATAACATATCACATTAGTTTAAAAGGGTCTTAGGCCAAGTAAGACTGAAAATAATTTAGGGTCAATTTAGGCCGTATCACATATTTACATTTAAAAATGCATATTGAAGCTATAGGAAATAAAATTTTGTGTCTTTTCCATCATTTCTATACTCAGGTGACATGATACAATAAATCTGAGCACAAAAAGACTCTTGCATTCAACTTTTTTTGCAGACAGTATGGTCTGATACAAAGATTTTTCACTTTTTATTGAAAAACATGCATGCAATTTTAGTCTCAACAGGCTTATATTTGAACCACTTGCTATCCTACAGAAGAAAAGAAAGATATTATGTGACATAAAACAGGTACAAAAGACATTGTTAAGTGCTTTTTATACAAATTTAGTGAGGTCTTTATAATGGACTTCAACTTTTATGTTCCAAGCTCCTCACATTTAACTTGATCCAAACAGGGCGTTAGACGAGGATCATATATACAACACATTTTGCACATATTGTCTGAGATAATCTTCTTTTCTGTAGATTCAAAGTTCACAAATGAGTAATACAACTGGATTGAAGCATAGAAACACAAATATTGACACATAAAAACCTGTCAGATAGAAAGTCAGAATGCCACTTATGCATCAAAATTGAAAAAGCTATGAAATGCTTATTTTGACCATAAAATGCCAAAATTGGTCATTTTTGCAGAAATTCTATCAAATAAAAGTTTTAATCCTTTAGTTTTATGCTATTTGATAAATTGACACCATCAAATCATTCAGGGAAGTTGCCAAAGTACAGATTCTATATTTCCTGATTTCACCTCTTAGGTCCGAGTACACAGTTATTTCGTAGTGCATTTCTTTTAGACAATAAATGAAAATTAAAAAAATCCCACCTGCGCTTTCTCAATAATATTTTTACAGTGTGTTGTACTACTTTTGGGACAAATTATATCAAAATTATAGAAAACTTCATCGGCTCTAACTCAAAATATGGACAATTTCATGTTAAGGGGGTCTTCAAATCTTTTGACAGCTTCCGAAGTGCTAATTTTTAACATTTTTCAGCTGGACCAAATCACTACTTTACTTTAAAATTCATGACCCAAATTTTTTTACAGTGTCATTTCACCCCCCTACTTACTATTTGAGTCATACAACATGGAGAAATAAATTTGGAAGGGGTATAAAAAAAATCAACAAGTAACACACTGTCCACACTAGGGACTATATTCGTGGACAACGAAAATCAAAGGACGATAACTGTGTACCCGGACCACCTATTAACCTCTGGATAAAGAATTTTGACACCAAAATTCTTAATCAATTTTTTCATATACTGATAATTGTCACTTAATTTTTTAGGTGCTATTCTTATCAATTGCTTACATTGGCTTACAATTTAATTGTCAAGCAGAACATTTTTGGAATTTTGTTCACAAATGTCACACAATTATCATGCCAATAAATAGGTAGAGTGCTAACATCTTATAATAGTATGCCAGGGGTGGAGACTGCACATGTGGAGAGTCACTGCCAAACTATTTGTATAACTTAAACAGATGATAAATATTACATATTACTGCAATGAGGAAAGCACATGATGTAATAATTATTCTGCAAAAACAAAAACAAACCTCTATCAAAAACTGTAATTATAAACCTCTTGCTACCGACCTTATATTAGCTGGAATATAATAATCATGCATTTTGATGACTGATTTCAGTTATTCTTATTGAAAAATTCCTCTTTGCCAGAAACATGCAGCTCAAGGAATATAAAGACTTAAATATTACAGTGTATTTACAAATTTTATATAATTATATCTTCATTAATTACAAGAGATTGTTTGCAGGAATTTGCCTCATCATTGAAGCAGACAGCAATTTGAATAGTATATCATGTATTGACATTATGTGTGCCAATTGCATAACTTATACAATTAATTTTAACCTAAATATCAACTCTCTACAGCGGAAACACTTTCTGATATAGGTTATCATAATAAATCTACCCCTGAAACGGCTGCCATATGGAACTGCATATATATTATGTCATTTTATAAATCAATCTTGGAATCATCCCCCCTAATATACCTTACTGAGGGGGGGGCTCTCCTTCAGTAATAAAAGTTTCAGGATGATACACAATTATCCATTGTACCATTGCATGTATGGGCATGCATTTATTATTGTTATGGTTGAACAATGAACAAAAATTTGAGATTTATAATTACAATTCAGGAAATGCTGCATGCAAATAATGCAATCAAGATTTCTTAAATTTTTACTTTTGTGAAACCAGCAATCTTGTCACAATTTACGCAATAATAAAAACATCATCTCATCTACCCAAAAATATTCACATTTCATTCAATATTTATATATATAATTAGATATTATTCAACAGAATGATTCATTTTTCCTTATCTTTTTTAATTCTACTTATACATATAATAATAACTAACTTAGGTACATGTATAATTTGCTACATAAGTGTTATCCATCAAATCTCCACAAAAATCTCCTAATCTACAAGCAATTAAATAAACAGCTACTGACTACACTACACTTAACAATATTTAATTGAATTTCAACAAAACTTAATTAAAAATCTATTATTACATCTTCATTATGCATTATAATAAGAGTATTGAAATATAGCTTGCAGTTAATAGAATTTTAAAATATTGTTAAAAAAATTGAAAATGTAAAAAAGTTTGAAGTTATCTTAAACAAAAATCTATATAACTTTTAATATACAGAACATAAAATATGGCTCACCAAGCAATAGAATTTTTATCTTTTTCAGATCCTCAACTTCAATGTCTGCCATTAAGAAACTTCAGGAGGAAAGAATCCTCCTCCCAAAAGATAAACGACAATAAATTTCCATCTCAGCCAAAACATCTGTCTGAGGATTTTATGAA